ATCATTTTCGGGGATACCTTTTCTTGATTTTGATTAATTTTTTAACGCTAGTTTTCTAATTACTGTCTCAATAAAGACCAATTAAATCAATAAGAGACTAACTGTGTCTGACACTGACTGGCCAACTTATCAGAAACCGGTTTTTGAAGTATTAAGAGTAATGTTTGCGACGCGGTATCTTGTGATCAAGGTGAGCTTCCTAACCATCGGAATAATTAATTATAATTTCAAAAATTTTTTGATACATTAAGTTTTACATTTTCTTTATTTCGAGAATTTCAAAATTTCTTTCCCCTTTTTTCTTTTTTACTGCATTCTCATCTGGATTTAATTCTGGCATTTATACTCTCGAGGTGAGGAAGATCACCATGACTAGTTAATAATTGTTATATTCTATGTATGTGAATTTATTAGTTATCTCTGAAGAAGGTTCAAAAATGAGCCGAAACATGTAAGCGCTTTAGTAAAATAAAGAAGTTTCACGCTACGATAGTTGTGTTATTTGCGCAACATCTCCCGCGCTTGACTCCTGCTGCCCTTGTTCTTTCATTGTTTTTTTACCAAAAATTGTTATATTTTAAATGCTCTTACGACAATTATCATCCAAAAAATTATTCAACCGCGCAATCTCTACATGGTACTTCTTGGATAACGCTAATACCCGCAGTACTGCAGCTTTCAAGTCTTATAATTCAAAAAGTACTTATTGTTAGTGACAAAATATTTTGTTATAATGTTTTAAAAAGTTATCGAAATGAGCTACAAGAATATGTAATAAAAAATGGGAGTTTCCACTTTAAAAAAATCCATGTGACCTTGACGACTATCTAAGATAAAACCGATAAAACTCGTAAATACTTATTTTTAAGCCCAATAACTTTTGTCTGAGGTATTTTTCTCAAAAATACATACTTTCCAAGATTTTTCAAACTTCAGATTGTTTTCAGATTTTTGGTATACTTATCTTTAATTACTCGTTATTCGGCTTCTAAGGTCCATTAGCAGGAACGTTTTTAGTTTCGTTTGGTAGCTTCTAACTTCTTCTTGTAAGACTTTGGTAGTCTGAAGGCTTAGGACGCTCGCACGGAATGCTAGAGGTCCGGGTTCGACCGAGGTAATATTTTTCGCAATAATTTACTTATAGATTTTCAATTCATTAAAATCTTCTTAAAATGATGATAATTGAGCATTAAATTATTAAATTACTAATTAATTTAATTTGTCATATTACTATGGTAGTGTGGTTCAGTTGCGTTTCTAACAATAAGTCTGGAAAACTATTCGGCTTGCAATTTGTGAGACTACAAACATGGTATATAAAATTATTTAAAATACTTAAGATCTAGCTTCGACCGGTATAGGCATTTATTTAGCATACGCTCCTAAACGTCGAGCGGCATTTGGACTGCGCACAGGATAATGAGGTGAGAAGAGTAGGAAGGCGGAGCTGAGTCGAAAATCGGCCGAGAAATGCAAATCTTGCCGAGTCCTGATTTTAAATAAATAGAAAACTGATCTCCAGCTTATTGGGTGATATATATAAATCATTCTCTCTTTGATATTTTCCACTGTTTTTAAAACATTTATTCATTAGTCACGTATTACGAATATATTGTTAAAATAATTTAGTACAAAATACCAGGACGAAGGATATGTTTCAATAAAAAATGTATGTTCAAAATTATGATAAAAATAAAATAATACTTTAATATTATGATATAAATCTCTGAAATATCTTAGAAATGTTTCTTGTTTACAGTAATGAAAACAAATGTGTACACTAGTAAATGAAGTGGATACGTTATATATAGTTTTATGTATAATATATATGTATAGCATACATATAGTAGTTTTAAATTATTTCTCGATATATTTTAAAGTATACTTAGGCCCGATTGCACCAACATTACGTTGATTTTAAACGAGGCTTAAAATTCTCTCCATTTCTCTCTTTCGGCTTTAAAACGAGACAGATAGAGTTCTAAATCTCGCTTAAAGTCAAAGTAACGTTGGTGCAACCGGGTCTTAGATATAATCAAATGTTTTCTTTACCTGCTTTCTTCTGTATTTCATTCAGCGATATTATTAGGAATGTGATTTAATTTTGAGTTTTGCAAGAGATGGCATTATTAGTGTTGTCGAAGACATTCCAATCACAACTATTATTTCTTATGCTTTATTTCTAAAGTTTTAATATTACTTCATGATATTCAGTCGTTCACTAACAATAGACGAATAGTAAACATCATGTTTATATCATTTTAAAAATGAAGCTTCCTCAAGAGCATTTTAAACATGTGTTACTTTTGTTTTTTAATTAGAACGGCGGCTGAAGATAGAATTCTGATAAAAACTTATGGTGATGCTGCTCCATCAAGGCTATGTTCCAAAATTCACTACCAGCGATGAAAATCTACAGTTTACGTTATATGTACTATATATTTTCAGCACTGACAGTAAATTTTGGAACACAGCCTAATTATGACATGTAAATATTGGTTTTGTTGATTCAAAAGTGGTGATTTGAATGTTAACCACAAAAGCAGATTTGCAAGCATTATTAGATGAAAATCCAGCACAATCTACTTCAGAACTTGCTACAGAATTAAATGTTGATCGTGTAACAGTTTACGTGATATGTTGTTTAAATAAATCAGTTTATGAAAAAGAACCCTCAAAACTAAATCACACTTCTAATACATCCAACATTTCTTTTCTCTCCCTCAGTAAGATATAACGATACTTAAGGATGTTTTTATTGTATCGATCATATTTTAAACATGTAAGATTTGAAGAAATAAAAGTTTACTATTTCCAAATTTGACTCGGAAAAAGACTCAAGTCGATTGTTGAATGGCATTTACCTTCATTTCTGACATAGTATCGTCCTTGGTATAACCGGTTCTTTCGTCTGTTATCTTGATCGCTCTGTTCCGAAGTATCCAATTTCTGACTGGCCGCCTGGCAATGTACCTCGTCCCGTCCGCTCTCCTCTTCACTTTCCATTCCATTTGCACTTCGCTCTTGTCTTCCGGTGGTATCCAAGTAGTAGACGTACATACTTGTTGACTACCGACGAACTGGTATTGTGTGAGATTTGGTGCCTGAAAGTTGCCATACGACTTGGGTTTCCTCGCACCGCTTGTGAACATTTCTTTAGATGTGAAGTTTTTGTGGTTGAGTGCTTGTTTGAATAGTTGTTGTTGGAGCATCATTGTTTGTTGCAAATTTGCCACGTTCGTGTACACAGTATCGGCTGCCATAGTATTGGCGTTCATCAATGAAGATTCGTTGCGGTTTCTATTGTAATAATGCAACGATGATGAGCTTTTCTTTACGTTTTGGTTTTTCGATGATTGCTTTACCACTGCGAACGTTGCGGTTGGCAATACTGGCATAGGACAATTGCAACCGACCTTCTGCTGCTGTTGCTGCTGCGACGTCTTCGGCGGGCACAATACCAGCATGCTCTTATAATGATCCTTCTCCTGATGCAGCTCCAGAGTTAAGGGATTACTGTGACAGGATTCGCCGGTGTTGTAAGCGCTTGTGCTATCTTTTTCTTCGCCGGAACTGTTGCTCTTTGAGAAGGAATACCACTTCTGATTCTGCTGGCCTTTGTTCAAATAGTTCTGCGCGATTCCGCTGTGCTGCGTTGTCATGGTATGGTTTGTTTGTTGCGTCCAATGTTGTTGATGGTGCTCGTATGGCGATGAATAGATTGGCTCGCTGTCTGATTTTGATATTGTTTCATAGATGTGTTCGGTATCACTCCACACGTAGCTCGAGTAGGCCTCGATGAGCTTCACTGACAGCGGTGTTGCTTCTAGTGGACTCGATTGCTGACCACGCAGGGATATATCCTCGAGTCTCTTTGAACAATTCTTTAGCGATTCTTGCATCCATTGCTTATTGCGTTCTTCTGTACGATGCTCTGGCAAAGTCGCGTTCTTGCTGGCGGATTTGTGTGAATTCTGCGATGAGCACGTGAATGATGAATTTGTAGAAAAGTTGTTAACAGATTGCTGTTGTTGCGGTAGTGGTTGCTGTGATTGTTGCTGTTGCTGCTGAGTGTGAGATGGTATGGGTGGAGGCGATTTTAGGATGCAGTTGTCTATCTCGCTGTTTTTAATACATTCCTCCGTTTGTTGTTGCTGTTGTTGGATCAACTGCTCGATCATGCTATTCTGATATGCTGGCAGGTTTTCGAGCAAAAGCGGCGGCGAATCCTGAAGTAGAATCATGGTTCACGGTAAATAGATGTCTAAATCATCTGCGCAAACATCGATTGTTTTTTGTTGCTTTACGAGGACAAATCAATAAATACCCGTGTTTGAAGACAGGTAACGTTGCTGATGCAAGTTGGCATTACAATCGTGTACATCTTTCAAATGACGACATACAAAATTTCAGAGTGATTCATGCAATAGTCTTGATTTGACAGCAATTCGTAGTGAGAGTGTTTGATGTTTTCCGATACAATGGAAAAAGAACAATATCGATCCGTGATTCGCTTTCTATTTTTGGATGGAAAAACGTGCGAAGAAATAAAAACGAAGTTGGATGCCGTCTATGGGAACCCTTCACCATCTATGACAACCGTCAGATATTGTTTGAACGAATTCAAACGTGGTCGTTCGTTTGTTTTTGATGAGGAGCGCCCAGGCCGCCCGGTAGACGTGCTTACTGAGGAAATCGTTGAAAAAGTCCACGACATGATTCTCGTTGATCGCCGAACGAAAGTGCATGAAGTAGCAGAGGCCATAGGCGTGTCGTATGGAACGGCATTCAATATTTTGCATGATAATTTAGGAATGAAAAAGCTGTCGGCCCGATGGGTGCCGCGATTGCTCACGGTGGACAACAAGCGAATGCGGCCATCAATGCAGTTTCAAAGCAACGTTTGGAGCTGTTCAAGCGTAATCCGAAGGAGTTTTTGCGTCGAGTAGTAACCGTTGATGAAACATGGATTCATTACTACACACCGGAGACCAAGGTACAGTCAAAACAGTGGACTTCACCCAGCGAACATGCTCCGAAGAAGGCTAAGACGGTCCCATCGGCCGAAAAAGTGATGACCACTGTTTTTTTGGAATGCGCAAGGTGTAATCTTCATCGACTACATGGGGAAAAGCAAAACTATCACGGAGTAGTACTATGCTGACTTATTGGGCCGATTCGATGTTGAATTGAAGAAAAAACGTCCCCTTTTGGCGAAAAAAAAGTGTTGTTTCATCAGGACAATGCACCGGCTCACTCCTCCGCAGTCGCCACAGCCAAATTGATCGAATTGCGGTATAAATTGCTGCCGCATCCACCGTACTCTCCAGATTTGGCTCCCTACGACTTCTTGTTTTCAAACTTGAAAAAATGGCTCGGTGGAAAAAGATTCATGTCGAATGAGGAGGTCATTGCCGAAACAGAGGCCTATTTTGCAGAGTTCGACAAATCGTATTTTTTCGGAGGGGTTAAAAAAATGGCAGAAACGTTGGGAAAATTGTATCCTTCTAAAAGGGGATTACGTTGAAAAATAAAAAAAAGTTTTGTGAAAATCTTACGTCTTCATTACTAACACGGGTACTTATTGATTTGCCCTCGTATGTAATTATGTCGACTCACCTGATGATAGATGCGTCTGTCATCGTATTCATTGTCCTAAAATAAGAGAAGTAAATTAATAATATGTAAATAAAAGCCATATTCAGGGAATGGAAATAATTCGTTACTTGTAACGAAGTTATAGTTACAAGTTACTCTTTTTGGTAACTTTACTGGTAACAGCGTTACTTTTTTTCTTTGATAACTATAACGGTACTCAGATAGCAACGTGTCTGTCTTGTTGCTGGCATGTTGCTTGCTAAGTATGCATTGTTAAGTATGTGTTGCTACCAGAATTGTAGCAATTGAGTCCTCATTTGTTGGCAACTTGGTGCCTTCACGATATGATAACATTGAATAGCAAATTGTCAGCAATTTGCCGACAATTTTAAAATCATTATTAAAATTCATACGATTGCCATCATGTTGCTATGATAATATGCTACATCATACAATGCTGTCTTATTCCCGACAATGCAAGATAATATTGATGCAGCTGTTATATCTTGCTGTTAAACTGCTGGTAATACACACATTGTTGTCTACATGTTGCTACAATGTCGGTATATTCGAAATTGTTGAAGACAAATCTAGGGCAAGTTGTCAGCATCATAAGCAACTACAGATTTGTACAATTTTGCTGAGACACGCTTTGCTATCTGGATAACGAAGTTACATTTTTTTGTAACGATAACGAATTTTACAGTTATTTTTATCGTTACTTTGCATACGATTGGACACGGTACGATTGGACACAAGTTACTGATAGCACTTGAAACTAGAAGGCCCTTAGCCTCGTTCGCTGTGATTAGTGATCATCGATTTTAAAAAAGTAACGGAAAGTTAACGAAAAGTTATTTTCTCAAGTAACGGTAACTGTAACGACTTACTTTTACAAATCGGTAACAACTCAATAAGAGCAGAATTGTAAATAGTATACACGCTTATTAAACGTAAGTAGAGTATAAAACTAATACAGGTATATGGCGTGTACGCATATAAGCTAAAAACTGTTCTTATACGATAAAGTAATATACATGTATAATAATTGTTTTTACTACGTGTAAGCAATGTGGGACGTATTTTATACGTCAAGAAATAGTCGATGAAGCACATGAAGACGTCAAATTTCATGTATGTATGTAATGCGAATAAAGATAGTATATTGTTCCACTTAAATAAATATTTTTTTAATGCGTTTACAATTTGTGAAAAGTATCCCTTTAAATAATGTATTAAGATTAGGATTTAATGACCAGGTATGTTACACTTTTTATATACGTTAATAAAAGGTTGAGCCTATATTAGATTTATACGCTTTCACTATGACGATGTTACACTGAATAATAAATGTATTTTCTATCTGACACATCCAACACAATTAAAGGTTTGTTGAAAATGTATTTTGTTTATGGAATGAAAAAATATTTAAAAAACATTTGCGTAATATGATTAAAATCTAGGTATGATAATTTAACTTGATCATATCTGAATTTTAATCATATTCTCCACAGTGGAATTTTTTTTCAGTGTAGGTTAGCTTCCTACACACACACACACACACACACACACACACACACGCACACGCACACGCACACGGACACGCACACGCACACGGACACGCACACGCACACACACACGCACACGCACACATTGTATAGTATTTATATATATGTATAAATGAATGCAAGGATGTATCCAAACAAAAAGTACTTTCCCATATTTGAATAATTTATAAAAATATTATGAGACCTTCAAACTATGATTTTGAAGCTTACTAGAGAAATGGCTTGAGAAATACGATTTGAGTGTATGTATTGTATATAACCTCGCATTCATGTGATATATAGGATTAGCAGAGCAAGAAATGTATGTAACATTTTACTTAATAATTTTGCTTAATGTTTTAATTAAAATATTGTAGGATATCATAATAAACACAAGCAGTCAATTCTGCTGAATCTCACAAATACTGATATATTTAATAATACTCATTACAAAAAGAACGCAGCTTAATGCTCAGTCCAGCCAACAACGCCATACTTCTCAGACTCACACACTGATACACACACGCTCTCTCGCGACCTTCTTCGTACAATATTACGCGCACGCCGCTCAGTAACCGGGAGGACAAATCATAGAGAGACTAGCAAATCCCTAGCGCTCGAGAGCGCACTTACAAATTCGAATACAGCGCTCGCAAATACGGAAATGCACGATCCCCACAATATGTAACGTTTTCTTGATGTATTGTACATAATATTTTATTGGAATTAAAAATCTATTTTAACGACATCGATCAAGTTCAACCGTCGCTCCAGCATCTCCTTAAGGGTCCCCTTAAGCTTCAAAATTATAATTTGAAGGTCTCATAATATTGTTATAAATTATTCAAATATGATGTTTGAGAATGCGCGACAAACACAAATGGAGTGAGCGGACAAGGAACACTATTTTGTAACGCCACTAAAGAACACAGTTTTATAGGTTTATGCACAATTACAATTTATTTTAAAAAAAACTGTTTAGCACTACATATTATCAGGGTTGGCAAACGTTACTTTTCAGTTACTTTGTCGTTACTTTTAATAGTAAACAATTTGATGACAATATTGCAATTTTTTATGACGATAACGCTAACTAACTAACCGCTAAGGTTGTACTAAAGTTAGAAAAGTCACTTTGAAAAGTAACTTGTCACTATTATGCGTTACACCGAAAAAATTATAAGTATAACGAATAACGCGTAACGTTACGCGTAACGTTACTCGTTACTAAAAAATAACACGTTACAAATTAGGAGTTATTTTTTTCAGTAACGAATGACTTTTTCAATCCATTACAAGTAACGATTGACTTTTCTATACTTTTCTAACTCTGATGTTAGCATTACCATCATAAAAAATTCACAATGTCATTATCAAATTGTTATTATAACAAGGTAACGATCAACAAAGTAACGCGTTACTTGCCAACCTTGCATATTATATAATGTAATTTTAGACGAACGCACTCACGACACGAAATATATACATGGAATCGTTAATTCTCGACTCGGCGATTTTCTCGGCGAACACTATCTAAGGGAGCGGCCCGCGGCTGCTTCTTTTATCGGCTTAAGCCCGTTCTACAATAAGCCATATGTCGCTGCTGGACGTCGGGCGCATGCGTGTTATATTGTCGTTTGTCGAAAGAAGTTGTCGCAAGTCGAATGTCGATGTCGCAACGCAAGATGACCAACTTCCATCTTTTCCAATCGCGACAATCGACATAAGTGCAATTTAACCTAGAAAACGAAATGGAAACAACAACTGTAGATGAAGTTATCATTAATTTCGTACGAGACAATACATGTCTCTACGACAAAAAAGACGTTAATTTTAAAAATATTAATAAAAAAAAAGATTTGTGGCAAGTTATATCAGGACAATTAAGAAATTTATATGATATAGATATGACAGGTAAAAACTTGAAAAAACCTATTATAAATATTATATTGTAAATATACAATAAATTTATTTTTTATAGCTGATACGGTGGAAAAACGTTGGTTGTCATTAAGAGATATGTTCAGTAGAGAAGCTAGAAAAAAGTTATTGCCATCGGGATCAGGTTATCAACCTAAAAAAGAATGGGAACTATACAAAATGATGCTTTTCTTATCTCCTCATATAGCACACAGACGGTTGGTTTTACATGGTTGTGATTATATTATTACATTTTACTTATTATTTTTTATTGTAAAATTATTTTTAGAACAAAAACGTCACTACCATGCCGATTGAGTTGTTTAGTACCCTCGGAGACTGAAATAAATAATTCTTCAAGTTTTGATGGATCTGTTCCTTCTCCAATAGCAGACTATGACAATATTGAAAGTGAGAAAGGTATGACGAGTATATGTGTATTGATCTTTTAAGTAAAAGATTAATTAAATTTATTTTATAATTATAAATGTAAAAATGAATATCTTGTAAAAATTTCCAGAAAATAACATACCAAACGAAAATGAAGTGATTATGACAGTTGATTATCAATCTGAATCAAGTCGTCCTCCTAGTGTATTATCTAGCTTTTCCTGCAGCAGTAGTTCATCTAACATATCTAAGATACACTTTCCGAGAACATCAAATTTTGGTACACAGAATGCAATAAGTTCTCCATTTAAGAATATAAAAAGTGTAACGCCTGAATTTGATACTTTTGCAAAACGTCGAAAACAAAAGGATCTACTAATTGACCAACAATTATCCGAAGCGTCTTCTGCAATATCTCATGCTGTACAATCAATTTCATCTCATGTGTTAAACGAAAATAAAAGTGGTTACATATTAGCTATAGAAGAAGGTAAATAAAATATATTCCTGATAAACATAAAACTCAGTGTCTCATAGAAGTATTACAGATAATTCAAAAATATGAGGAGAGATAATTATTTTTATTTGAAAATTTTATTATTAAAACTTTTATTAATATTGTTTTATTTTCAACATATATATTATGTTTCTTACTTCAACATGTTTTAAGAGAGTATAGTTTTATTTTTAACATGTTATTTTAACATTTTATTTTGACATATATTTTATTTTTGACATGTGTTTTATTTTTTTACTTCACTGTTTTAAGAGAGTATAATTGTGAACCTTATATATGTATATGTTTGACATATTATAAATACAAAAATATATTATAATATTAAAAAAATAAATTACACAAGAGCAAAAATGTTTTTGTATTTACTTTATTGTATTAAAAAACTTTTTTATACTTTATTTTCTAACTTGATTACAATATTCTACATTTTTAAAATACTTAATCATGTTACTTAGTAATTTAAAATAAAAATTTATCTTTTCCAATTTTATTCGTTCATTAAATACATTGCCATTGCCAAGGTATGCTTCCTTCGTCCGAAACAAAATAACGAGATAAAATTTCACGCTGTTTTATAGCAGCAGATGCACCTATGTTTGCTCCAACTCGTCCCAAAGAAGCAACAAAACTATTTTCTCTTACTGAATTTCTCCAATTTCCTGCTATTACTTCACCATTAGGACCTTTTTTATCTGCAATACCTCCATGTAAATATTGATTGTTGCTTAACCCAGTGGTTATAATATAATTATGTAAACAAGTAACATGTAAAAAGCTTGTACTATAACTTCTGCAGTTTCCAATTTTAAACTTAAAGCCTTTTGTAAAATTCTCCACCTTGCAACGAGAATACCGAATGCATTTTCAATTACTCGTCGTGCCCTTGATAATCGATAATTGAACACTCGCTGCTCATTACCCAGCAAATTTTTTTTAGCAAATGGTCGCATCAAGTAACTTTTAAGTGGAAAACCTTCATCGCCAATAAGAGAAAATGGTATTGTAATATTAGTATTATCTAAACAGCGAGCTTGTGGAACAGATACTGTATTATTCTCCAAAGCTTGACACATAGTGGTATGGGACCAAATTCCCGCATCATTGAGAGAACCTAATTAGAATATATTTTATAACTTAATTTAAAAGAAACTTTACTTTTATACATTTTAATAATATAAAAATAAGTAAATTACCATAATTTCCAATATCTACCCAAATAAAACGATAGCGTGCATCAGCAATGGCCATTAATACAAAGTTGAAGTAGCTTTTATAATTATAAAATTCGCTACCAGAATTAGCCGGAGCTTGAATACGACAATGTTTGCCATCAATTGCGCCTATGCAGTTTGGAAAATTCCAGATGTTATTAAATTCATCTGCAATTTTCAGCCATTCATCTTCTTGCTGTGGACATCGGAGATATATCGGTTGTAAAGTTTCCCATATAGCTTTACACACTTCAGGAATAATACTGTATAGGGTTGATTTCCCAATACGAAAAAGTCGTGAAGTAGTAGCAATACTATCACCATGAGCAACGAAACTAAAAATAATAGGAAGTTTATATTATAATAATTTAAAAAAACTAAAGCTTAAATGGATAAAAATCAAATTAATTACAAGGAGTACAAACCTGGATAGATGTTTATTAGTAATTTTGAACAAAATATAGTTTAAACAATAGACTGATAATGATCGGGTATAAGATCATAACGTCTGTCATTTAAACTATATTTTGTTTAGCAATAAACATTTAGCTGAGCTCTTAACTCTTAATTTATTAATTTGTTTTATAATAATGTTTCTAATCTTAAAAATTTATAAATGATTGGTTATATATATATATATATGACAAGAGACTGAATATATATAAACATAATTTTAATCAATTACAATATAGTATACCTTAATGTAACAGCAAGACGAATTTCTGATGGTAAAGGTTCTCTGCGACTCCTCTTTCGTAATTTTGACTCCAAAAGATGATGTAAATAATTAAATTGTTGTACAGACATTCGTGTAAATTGAAAAAATTCTTCGTGATCGTGTAATTTAAAATAGATGAATAGTTTTCTATGAGCACCAAAATTTTCTCGCATATCAACAGAAATATGAGGTTTAACCTACCATCTTCTTTTTCTTCTTACTTGATATCTATTCTTTAGCAATAGTCTCATTTTTGTAATTTGTACCCAAATGGATAGCAAATTGCAATACATTATTACAGTTTTATTGTTCATTGATAGTTATAACATCAATTTTCACACTATGACACACTGCAACCAACTGCGACTAAATGTAGAATAATATGTAGTAATAATAACCGACATGCAACATTCGACATACGGTTAGTGACATCCAGCAGCGACAAACGGCTTATTGTAGAACGGACTTTAGCGAGACGAAGGCGTTGCTTGTTAATTTTCAATGAAAAGGCTTCAGGACAATTGAATTTTGTGGTGACCCTCGGGAGCCAAAAGTAATTGGCAGTTCAGGATCTCCTTTGCGAAAAAGGACATATTGATATTGCGCGAACGATTAGTGAGCACGATTGGCGGCCAGATACGTTGTTTAGTGGGCGCGACGGCGCACAGTGGGGAAAAAATGAGAAATCGTGTTTCAAAATTGTCTACAGCCTTCAAATCTTAACCGATTTTAATGTTTTTTTTTTAAATTAAAACTTATTCAATTTCGAAAAAAGTTGTCGAGGCTGATTTTTAAGTTAGGTTTTTTTTTCAAAATGACAGACATAAAATGGCAGCTAAAAGACAGAAAGCATTTATAATAATAATCTCATTTGTACTGAATTAAGTATATATGTTTCTGATATTGCAGATTAGGGAACTAATATTAAAATTGCAAAATTCATTATAAGTCCATACGTCCATACAGCTATGAACAATAAAAAATTAGATATGAATAAATCCATTATGAATCGATTTACATAAGATTTTCATGTCAATGTGTATTTTTAAGGTCGTTAATTGTGAATTATTTACAATAATTAAGAAACTTAAAATGACGAATGAAATATGGCGAATGCCCAAATTGAAAAATTATTTAATTTTTGATGAAAATCATTAAAAGGTTTTTGAGATCGTTGGTTATAAACCTGAAGTCACAATTGCAAAATTCGATGATGCATCCAATATACCTACATTAAAAATATTTTTTCATTTTGTGAAAAGTCATGTATTACATCGATAAATAAAAGAAGGGCTACGAGCCAATTATAATGTAAAATATTTAATAATTTAAAATTCGTACATACAAACGTTTCGACACCGATCAGGTTATTTTCAATGTAAAACAACAAGCAATATTACATAAATTATCGGAATATTCGGTCACATTATAATGTTCAGTAAAAACGTCGGTTATTTTGTATTCGCGATATGCGGTCCATATGTAAAAGTATCATAAAGGTGATCTCATCTCACTTTTCAAAATTCTACAATCTTACAAATAAATAATAACTTGACATTGCGTTACTGTTTAAAATTATCAAGTATGTACATTTTATAGTAAATTAGTAACAACTAAATTACATAAATATGTATATATACCTTGAATTGTCTTAATGATGTAAGTTAGACGTCGAGAGGAAAACGCAATTAATTTAGTTATATTTAATAAAAGGTAAGCCATAATACTATTGGAGAGAACATTTATCCTCGACGATGTCAAGCGACGTTATGACAAAAAGGAAACGAGGAAATAGGAAAGATAATTGGAAGGGGACAAAGGACAATGTTAAGAAGGGGAAAGAGATTGAATAATGTTTAGATATGATTCTGGCAGAGAATCCGTGTCATTTTGTTTGTTTATCCCATGCTTTTGTCGTTTTATGTGAACCATCTCCGATATTAATCTCTTATTAAAAGAAACTTCTCTGTCTAAAATTTCAACATTGCCCCATTGTCGAAATTATGATTCTGGTCAATGCGGTGACTTGTAATCACTGTTGGAGATTTCGACTTCTTATTAATATCGGAGACATGTTCGTGCAATCTTGTCTTTAACTGTCTGTTGGTCTGACCCATGTAACTAGCTTGGCAATCATCACAAGAGATCTTATAAACAACATTTTGATTGCATAAGGGATCCAATTGATCCTTGCCCTTTCTAATAACATTTTTTAATGAATTTGGTATCGAGAAGGCGAACTTACAATGAAATCTATTTGCAATTGGAGTAAACTTTTCCGATACCGAACTCACGTAAAGTATCGTGAAAAATTTCTCCTTGATCTTTTTCTTGACCGTTCCACTCTTATTAATATGGAACTTTATTCTTTTTTGTATTGAAGAAAAAATAAACTCTAGTGGATAACCGTCATTTAAAAAAATATTTATTGCCTTAATTAAATTGTTTTGCTGGAAACGTGGATGACATAACCGTATAATTTTATCGACAAACCCCTAAATTACCTCTCTTATGACAAAGCGGATGGTGTGAATTAAAATTTAGAAACCTGTCAGAAAACGTCGCCTTACGATACAAATCAAAAACTAAAACTTGATCTTCCACAATCAACATAGTATCTAAGAAACTTAGTTTTCCATCTGTGCCAACCTCCATAGTGAATTGCAATCTACTATGTAATGAATTAAAAATTTCTAAGATGTCATTGATATTCTCTGATGGAGCAGCTAAGATAATGTCATGCACATATCGAAAATAAAATAAGAGCTTAACAGGTAATTTATTAATTGCTGTTCTTTCCAAATCCTGCATGACTATATCCGCAGCAATTGGAGATAAAGGTGACCCCGTCGGAGTACCAAAAATCTGTAGAATTTGTTATTAAACATAAAAAAAGTAGAATTTAAAACCAAACGAATAGCAATTAAAAACACATTTAACGGTATAGCTGTCTTCCCAGATATATAATCCCATCTTTTTGTAATACCATTAGATACCAATTCTATAGGAACATTCGTAAACAAGGAAACGACGTCCAATGATACCAGCAAATGATCAGGTTCAATGCGAATATCCTTTAATTTTTCGACACGCTGAAAACTATTCCTGATGTAGCTAGGTGCTTCCAATATAGAATAGAAAGAATTGTTAAGCGCGTTCGTTTATAAAATTTATTTTAACTTTTTTAATGGTTCTGAAAAGGACCGTTTTATATTTACAAATTATGTGGCCCTGAACAGGGCCGTTTTTATAAAAAATCTAAATTAGAGTTTCTTTCTGAAAGAGATGGAAGATTTAATCTTGGTAATTAAACTGCTTCGGTCCCCAAAGTCTTTTGCGGCTGAGTTCTAAATGGTATGATCCTGGAGGTGAGCCTGGTGGTGTGTAGCTTGGTGGTGTTCCCGGTGGTGTGAAAGGTCCTTTCTGCAATGCGAAGTCGCTCTGTGTTTCCTTGCTGACTACCTCTGGTCTGCTCATTGTCAGCTTAGCGAGTACTATCTTAATTAGT